AACTCTGCCTGATTGGACGTGGATATTTAGGACTGGATAGTCTTGCTCTTGGTCATGTTGAAGTATTGAAGACTCTGTTGGTATGGTTTGTATGAGGATGAGTTCTATTTGCAATTACTCTATCATAAAAGCGACAAACCTTTGCTACTATCCTAATCGTTACTTTTTATGGAAAAACCCGTATTTTGTATATGAAAAGTATTAAAAACAGGACTTGCTGAACGTCTTATGATTTCAAAGATTATTCCTTAAACGGCGCTTGATCGCGTCATCGACAAGCAAGCATGTTTCATATATTTTTCTTGGAGATCGGTTGCAATTGTGGTAGCTCTCAAAAGATTTCGAGAGAAAGGTTTGCCGAACTACGTGAAGCGTTTCAAGCTCTGTCTAGATCCGAACAAGATATATTTTTAATGGCCCAACTGAAAGCAATGCGGAGAAACAAACTGCTAGTCGACGTTCTCAAGGAGCGAAATTGACGAATGTAAAATATGGGAAAATCCCAAACAAGGAATCTCATTCTAATGGCATGGAAATTAGTCGAGTGCGTTTGATGGTTTATTTAATGGTTTCATGCTATACTTCCAAAAACCCCTGAATCCCTATTAACATATATAATTTGTGATAATACATGATAGTTGTTTTATATTCTAATAAAATCTCGCGTTTGAATTGTTCATCCAATGATGAAAATCTATGTCAGAATCTAAACAAACATAATTTATGGTTAATTCACAAGGAACGAAATTGTTTGATCAAACAAAAAGCTTACATACTTCTGTAACTACTCCAACGGCAATCGTTTCACCAGCCTTTCGCAACATGACGCGACCAAGCTCCTTGTTATCTTTGAAAGTCTCTAATGGAATAGGTCTATCGGACAGTTTTACTTCAACTCTGGCTGTCGTTTGTTTTGAGAGATGTCTTTGGGTATTTTAATTACCAATCAATTAAAATGGTTACTATTAATTAAATAAACGTCTGAAAGCTGGTCTACTTAAAAGTCCTCGCTTACCGCGGGTTTTTCTTGACAATCTCGCCTGTGCTTTTATCAAGGACAGCAAGTAATTTAGTAATCACTGCGGGTTCATTCAAGCTTTGATGATGAATAATAACCTATATAAACCATAAAAATAAGCACTATGTATGATTGTAAGTGCTACAACGTGGTGAACAAAGAGAACCTACCGGAAATCCCTTTGTGATCGGTATCTTTATGTCAAATACCACGATTTGTGCAATGAAATTTGATGACACAGGTACAGGACTCGACGGGGAACATAGTATTGAACCAGTACTTTATGTTTGAATAAAAATAAATGTTAGAAACAGACAACACAAAGCATTGTTATAATCACAACATCGTAACAAGTGCTCGGCGTGAACCTTACCTGAGATTTATAATATCAAGACCAGTCAGCGTTGTCAGTATAGTGTCTCCAGCTGCAGCCCATTTCGCGGATTCACCATTAATCTCGATAGCTAAGGTGTTAAAAATACCATGAACATCATTTCAAAGAACCAAAATGACAAAGATATATGTTGGACCGGACGCTACCTTTCACAATACCAGTTTCTCCACCAGGTATTACCAAGACTGTTTCTCCTACCTGGATGGTTCCCACATCAACTCTGCCAGCTACAGAGATTCCTCCTCCCCCTCCACTGCTACCTTTGAAGAAATCCGTAACACCCAATCGAAACGGTCTTTCCAAGAGCCTCATTGGGGGTTCCAATGCATCTATTTCGAAAAAAGAATCGCGTCATAAGTCTAATCAGTTATAACTCCAGCAGACGCATGACGTATCAGAATGCTTTACTAACCAATTTGCTGTACAAGTGTTGGTCCATTGTACCATGTCATAATATCTGGAGACTTCTTTAAAAGATTCTCCCCAGTCATACCGCTACATGGCACAAACGCAACTTTATCTTTCTTAAATCCGGCTTGACTGAGGAAAGCGCCAAGTTTTGTTTTAATTTCTTTAAATCTTTCCTCTGACCAATCAACCTACACCAAATTATAACTTAATTTAAACAAGCAACAAATTGTAACCTTTACAAGTGCGTGACTATAAGCACTCACCACATCGAGTTTATTAATGGCGACAACAAGCTGCTGCACGCCCAGACTTCTTACGAGCAGGGCGTGTTCTTTAGTTTGACCATTAGCTTCAAAACCAGCCTCAAATTCGCCTGTAGTCGAATCAACCACAAGTATTGCAACATCTGCCTGATAGAAAGGGTGTTATAACATGATAAGCGAATCCCAGAGTTTTTAGGAGAACAATAAGCGTGTACCTGTGCGGCCCCAGAAATCATGTTGGGAATAAAATCTCGGTGACCGGGAACATCAAGCAAAGTAAATCGACGGCGCTCCGTTTCGAAACTGGTAACGGCAACGTCCATAGTGATGCCTCTACAAATTCATACATATTTAATCATAAGCCGACAATGAATCTATTATCACATGAAATTATTCGTACCTGCTCCTCTCTTCCCCGGTCTCATCGAGAACCCATGCAAACGCGAAAGATGATTTGCCCAATTTTTGCGAATCGTGCTCATATTTTCGCATTGTTCTTTCTTTAACTTCTCCCAAAAGATATAAAAGGTGACCCATAAGCGTGCTCTTCCCAGCATCAACATGACCTAAAATCGTGGTCTATATTTTAACGGGACAATAGGAAAACATGATTGTGGCCAATTTGGATAAAACGAAAACTCACCAACAACAACCAAGTTCAAAGAATCTTTTTCTGCCGTACGCTTTCGGTACTCTTCAATTACATTAATTCTCTTTGACGGTTTCAGCGACTCCACAATTGGTGAGTTTGATACGACAGTTGTGTCTTTTTCTGAAGTTACAAACCCTTAATGAGTTGAGATACAAAACTATAAATAACAACGGCAAGAAAAGCATTGTGGTTTTGAAAGCGCATACTTGCGACAGCATTGGCCTTTTTCTCTTCACGCGCCTCCCTTGATATATTGTCAAGACTAGGAGCATCTTCAATTACATTAATTTTCTTTGACGGTTGCAGCGAATTCTCAGTTGACGACCTTTCCTTTTCTTTTACTGAAGTCATATTATCGATGAGTGGAAATACAAAGCATAAGTAATAACAGGGCAAGTTTTTAAAACGCATACCTGCAGACGCGTCGGCTTTTCCTTGTTTGCGTTTCTCATTTACTATATCGTCAGGGCTAGGCGTATCAAAGCCAAAAGCTTCTTTGTTGCCACCTAACGAGAAAATGTCAATAGTAAGTGTTCCGTGTTGTTGTGATTGAGGGTCTTCAAGGTCACTAAAGAGCGACAAGGCAAATATGGATGGCGGAGCTATCAGAGGATTCGAAGATGTTGGTATTGCTGATATAAATGGCTGTACAAGCGCCGCGGGAGAGAAAGATGATTGAGCGGTCGACTCTGGATGAGATTGAATCGGTTCGCGGGTTGACTCGGAGACATTCGTTGACAGCGTTGTAGAAGCCAATTTAGCACGGGATTGCACTAATGAGTTGGATTTCCCAGAGGCAAGAGAAAATAAAGAAGATTTATTTTGGCCAGCATCTGCTCGAACTACACGTGGTTTTCCGATAGCAATTGTTTTCGGCTTTGAAAGTGTCAGTCCAGGCGAATTTGTACTATTGAATGCACTTTTCCCGATCGTAACAGTAGTCTCTGAAGTTTCCGCTGGTTGAGACACTGGACTCTGTACGGATGCTGATTCCTGGGCTTTTCTTTTAGCAATCAGGTTTGTCAACGAAGTTCTCGGGCCTGCTCGATCGATACTAGCTTGTGCTAAGCTCGCAAGTGACTGACCTCTGTTCGAAGAATCGTTAGTACTCGAACGCAAAGAACGAAGCGTTGATGCCGATGTGTTGGTAGTACTCGAGTTAATGGCATTCGAACGACTACTTGAATCTCCGCGTGATAATGACAAATTGCGTGAAGAAGATAATTGAGCCCGAAATTGTGCGAAACTGGATTGGGTTGATCGTGAATTATTAGTGTCTGCTCCGCCTAGTAATCCAGTTAATCGTACTCGTCCATCCGGAATTTTAGGAGGTAACAATTCATCCTTTCCACTGCAGCTCCACTTTACGTCGTACCACGACCAAAAGTCTTGAGGCACTAATATGCTTTGCGAAGATGCTCTGGCTTGTTTAAAATAACTCCGAGTCGATAGCGAACCCAAAGTTTCGCCTAACGAGATTAAGACGTAAAAAAGAAAAGCACACAATGATCAGTTACAAAACAAGCAAACGAGCTTGTAATATCTTGTTTTGACAGATACTCCTAGAGCTCCAAAATTCATCGCCATAGATAGCGTCGATTCATTTGCATACGTACGCTTCTCAACCATGGATATGGGATCGTTCTCACACTCCCTCTTATCAATCCTCATGACATCATAACTGAAGCTCTGCCATCCATTCGCTCAAGTAATATATACGACGACAAAAAACATGTGCTTGTTTGTTTTGATAATTCAAAATCTTTGCCTTGAGGAGGAAGAAAAAGAATATATATAATAATACCTATGCTTAATCGGGATGATTTTGATTGCGTCTGGTCTACGGCGGGTTTTGTTTGTTGTGTCGCCGATTGCTTTGGTTTCTGATCTGGCGGTTTTCTTATTTTGGCTAAGCCATGCATAATTTGACCAAGAAATTATATTAAAGTAAGCTTCTAATGGGTTTCTCTTGAGCAGCAGCCGACGTCATGACAAATACCTGATACGCGACGTATTGTCTCCTCGATATCATAGTAAGTATCCCATAAAATGTTTTTGATCGCCTTATCAGTTATCCCGGGGGGGTTGCCTATTAATTCTCTCACTTTGCGCAAGTTTGATTCCAGTAAAACTATATAGAGGAGAACGACGAATGAGAATGGATATAGTACAAAATCATCGGAACCGAACGCTAATGTTTGAATTACCTTCATCATTTTGATCCGCGCCATCGTCGTCCGAGTATTCTAAACAATATGTAAAGACATATGTTATTGAAATCTCAAGCATTCCGTAATCAGAATTCCCAAGCATATATGCATATGCAAATATGTAAACGGTTTTCCCGTCATACCACCAAGCCAGTCGTCGTAGATATCTACAATAAAACCTTTGATTAATACGAGTCTCTACCATATATTACACTGCATTCTTCCGTTCTCACCTTCCACGTTAAGGTTTCTAATGTTTCTGTGTCGAGCCATAATTTTTCAACTGCGGAGAATGTTGTTGACTTAGCTGCATCAGAAATTTCTCGAAATAGAGCACCAATGATCCAACAATTCGGTAAACTTTTTTTTTTTCGATTTTTTCAGTATTTTTTTTTTGATTCAAATAATTTACACTTGGAAGGCAATGGGAAAAGATCGGACTGCGAAAAGAAACAAAGGACGTCATGAACCGCTCTATGTACAGATGGAGGAGGATGGACGACTATCGAAAAAGTCTCCGAGAGCAAAGTTTCAAGCCAAGAAACAGATAAAATCCGGAGATGATGTAAGATACGTGGAATGTGAAATTGATTATAACATTCTCTAAACGTGATTTTGCTTTATCTAGGAATACATTGACCCGAGACTGTCGCGTAAAATTTTACAAATAGCACGCGTACAACAGGAGGAGCTGGAAACAGAAGACGGATCAGATAATCTCCTTGCGGAAAGATTTGTCTCGGCAGATGTAAAACATGAAGACAGCGAGGAAGACTTTTCGGAAGATGAGGATTTCGACTATGAGGACTTGGTAAGTAAGCACAGCCGTCAATTTGTAGAAATTAAGCTGTTTAATAATGGTATTTTTGTAATGATTAGGAAGTGGAAGAAGAGGATCAAGAAATTCTAAATAAATTTCTTCCGAGTGCGCCGACAGAACGACGGACCTTGGCAGATATAATAATGGAGAAAATCGAGGCATATGATAGGGAGAAACAACAATTATCTACGGGTGAAACTATAACACCTCCCGGACTAAGTCCAAAGATAATTGAAGTTTATTCAAAGTATGTTGGAGTGTAAAATTCTTCCAATATTCTGATGAATTCTACGATTAATTGGGCATACAATCTCACAATCTTTAATATTACGTGCATTAGAGTCGGGACTCTTCTGAAGAGATACAAATCAGGCAAACTACCAAAAGCTTTTAAAATTATTCCCTCGTTAAGTAATTGGGAAGAAATATTGTATCTTACACGTCCCCAAGAGTGGACACCTCACGCGACATATGCAGCAACTAGGATATTTGTGTCTAATCTAAAACCTAAACCATGTCAGAGGTAAGTGTCTGACTAAGCATTTGGATAGGATACATAAAAATGATCACCAGACTGCTTAATCGGCCGTATTCCTCTTTAAGATTTTTAGACTTGGTTCTTCTTGATAAGGTGCGAGATGATATTCAAGACAATAAGAAGCTCAACTATCATCTTTATATGGCATTGAAGAAATCTTTGTACAAACCGGCAGCATTTTTCAAAGGGATTCTATTTCCATTATGTAAAGTAAGCTCATCTCCCAAGTAATTAAGATTTTTATCTTTTACATTTACTTTTTTTTAACGTATATTAACAGCTATCCTTTCCATTCTTCCCAATATAGTCAGGCACATGCACATTACGAGAGGCGGCCATAATTGGAAGTGTTATTTCTAAAGTGAGCATTCCTGTCCTTCATTCATCCGCGGCTCTTTTGAACTTGGCAGAGATGGATTATACCGGACCAAATAGTTTATTTATCCGCATTCTTCTGGATAAGAAATATGCATTACCGTATAAAGTGGTAGACGCGCTGGTATATCATTTTATGAGATTTAAAAACGACGAGAGAACAATGCCTGTCTTATGGCATCAATCATTTTTAGTCTTTGCGCAACGGTAAGTTGGCAAAACGAAACTTTGGGTTGGATGCACGCGATATGGTTCAAGGTCCTTTGATAGTGGTTGTCGGTGGTCATCCTAATTGTTTGCCACATTAATATTTGCAGATATAAGCAAGACTTGACCCCAGATCAAAAAGATGCACTCCTGGAAGTGCTTAAATACAAGTGTCACGATCAGATAACACCTGAAATTCGCCGCGAGATAGTTAACTCAGTTGCTAGAGGGGAGATAATTCCAGAAGTGGAGATGACGGATATTTGAGGACAATAACAAATCACGAACGGAGATGTTGATTAATATGATTATCAAGTGCGAATTTATTGGGGAAGGACTGAAAGCTTCAGCGAGGCAAGTTGTATAATAGCACAAGATAATTGGAACGGCTAAATTATTGAATATAATGCCCTATATATCGCGATGTATGATACAGTCAAAAATATGCTATTTAATAGAATTACCACGAATAAAAAATCAAAGCCTTCAGGGCGACTTGTGACTCCTACTATGTGATCTGTTTACTGCGGTTTTGCTTAAATCACGTGGCGATCATCCTGTCGAGAAAATTTTTAAGATTGAAAGAAATCCCAAACATTCTTTCAATTTGATTGAGCATTGCCGATACAGTCCAAATGGTAAGATTCATACGAAACGACTGAGCACGCCGTGCAGTGTGCTGTCGCATGATTAATAGCTGTGTATACTGAGTTAACTATACGACGATCTCTGGAATTGCATCGAGCGCGGTGTTAGTTAGCACACGCAATCCATAGGGTGATAACCCTGGACAAATTTGCAAGAGAGAAATAATAGCTAAAACAGTGAACCTAGGGTTGAGACAGATGCTATTTTAAGAAGGCTTTTGAATGTAGAACTTGGAGGGTGTGCACCTAGAGTTAATGCGTCAGTTAAGTTAATCTAATCATTAATATTTTCTTCTCAACGCTTTTTCGTAATTAGGCCAAACGAACAAAGAAGGTGAGTAACAGTTTTACAACGTTTCTCAGCTGCCTACAGTATCAGCCGTTTGTAACCTAAATTTGGGTCTGGTTGCTTAAGGTCGGAGTAGTCGGTAAATACGGCACTCGTTATGGTGCATCACTAAGAAAGCAGATAAAAAAAATGGAAATCACACAACATCAGAAATATACTTGCACATTCTGCGGTAAAGACACAGTTAAAAGAAAGGCTGTCGGCATCTGGGAGTGCAAGGCTTGTAGAAAAGTGCTTGCCGGTGGTGCTTGGACCGTTTCGTAAGTGATTAATATCGTGATTTGATATGAAATTGTGGTCCAACGAGGTGTTAATGCTTTTGAATATTCGTGTGCCTTTTTATAGTACCACCGCGGCCGCTACTGTCAGATCAACGATCAGACGTTTGCGTGAATTGGCAGAATCTTAATATTTTATTAAATGTACTTTAATAAATGAGTCAATTCGATCATTTGCAGAGTGTCTTATTCTATGGTATATTTTTAACTGTTTCCTTTTTGCCTGATTATGTCATTTGCGTCTTCGAAGCATGGTAACGTATCCGTAGTGCTACGTAGTGGTGTAGACATTTATTTTTGGAAATCGGATTAATTCTACCGTGCCATTATCTCTCTGTAAGCCATAGCAAAAAGTTTGCATCCATGCCATACGATAAATTGACTTGGAACTTATTCAAATGACATTTACTATGACGATTCGCACGTGTACACTTGCGCTTAGGCCAATTAATTATTTATTACGAATTACAAGCAGTAAAATAAAACGGGGACTACATGGTTGCAGTATTCAGTAGTAAAATTCAGTTGAAATACGCGTAAGTTTATTAGATTCAGGTTAAAAAACGCCCACAGATTCTCCAACATACAAATCAGAAATTGAACATCAATTATCTTAAACTGCTTGTTGCTGTTGTTGTTGATGTTGTTGTTGTTGATGATGATATTGTTGTTGTTGTTGTTGTTGTCGTTGCGTATTAGTATTACAACCCAACATGCTATTCATTCTTAATATGTTTATTATGCGTGATTATCGAAATAAATTAAGTAATTCACTCAAAGCCGGCTTTAACGTTATCATATTTACTTTTAGGAAATGAGATGTGATTTGGTGTCCTGTCCATCTCTGTACTTCCATGTAATTCATTATACACAGTTCTTAATAGCGACCGTTCGTTGTCGGTTGGATGGTCAGCACTCAATTCCCAGAACATTGCCCCTCCCAAACCCATTGCAACTATATATTGAGCTTTACGTGCAACGACGTGGGGATTATCATAACTGATAAGCTCTTTGCTATTGCTATTATAACTGTATGCTGCGACTGCAACATGATCCACGATTTCATCCGCATCATTGGGAGGCAGCTTCTTGTAATCATGGACACCTTCTTCCCAAGTTCCCTCTCCAACGCCGTTGAACCTTCCACCAACTCCGCTGGTGTTTCTAAATGCACGGCCATACAATGGCATGCCAATCACGATCTTATGAGCATGCACACCATGCTCGATATAGTATCTAACGGCCATATCAATATTGAGATCGCCTGCATAAAGATTAGCCTGATGTCCGGCGACATCCGACCACGAACCGCAAAAGTCGTAGGCCATCAAATAAAAGTAATCGAGGTATTTGCTCATCCCATTCAAGTCGAGGATACGATACTTGGATGCACCAGCTGGCACCGCGGCCGTTAAAAGATATCGATTTGTCTCTCTTTTCGAAGATGCATATTCGTCTAGTCCTTGACGAAGTTCTTGAAGAAGTGTAACATAGTTACGAGCATCGTTACTGTTTTCTGGATACTCCCAGTCAACTACAAACAATCAATACGATCATGTCAGGAAAAAAAAAAAGTCCCGAGCTAGTTTCAAAATGGTTACACACCTCGCGTAGAATGCGAATAATGCACTTACCATCTAATCCATCCAAGCCTAAATCATTGAGCAGAGCAATAGATGACTCGACAAACTTGTGTCTTGACGATTTGTGAGCAGCCATTGTCGGGAAGTTCTTCGATAGCGTCCACCCTCCGATTGACAAGCTAACTTTCAGGTGTCTATTCTTCTTTTTCAACAAACCTAGCTGTTTGAAATTTCCATAAAGATTGTTTCCCGTGTCATTCCACGAATCGCCATCAAAGTGTTTGTCGGTGTCAGCCCACGGATCTTTAAGAATGACCGTGCCGTCGGCATTGGGCTCGGCAAAGGCGTAGAGTATATGCGAAAGTTTAGACGGATCCAAGTCCGATACAGTAAAAGCACGAGCGTATATACCCCACGAGACAAAATATCCCGCAATGACCTTGCCTCCGCTGGGTGTGCTATGATCCATTGGTGGAGCGAGACTGTTATCGTCGAAATTCTTAACGTTTAGGAATAGACCAGGAACGACGTTCCAAAGTGTAACGATTGTAAGTGCGAAGAATAGTAAGATTAGCAATAGCCGTCTTAGGTTTCCCCTACAATTAATTCGCTGGCTAGGTGCTATAGATTCGTCTTCGAGGACGCTGACCGGAGAGTATTTGCTCATGATGTGTTCTTATAGCAAAATTGTCTGTGAATGACATATTCGTGGAGGGGTTTTGATTACACGTTTCATTTAGAGTCAGTTCCACAAAAAGCAGGCGTTTGGCCAATGATGATAATAATAGTAACGAGCAATGAAATTAAATTTATTGCAAAGCTAGTTATTAAATAATATTTCTATTAATATAACAGACAGACAGACGTTACTACGTAATGTTTCCCAAATACAGTCTGGTGGCTGGGTTATGGAAGGCTTGGCATTCAACAATACTGGAAAGTTGCCTAATTTGATTTTGCAAATCATTTCAATTTTTGCCGAATCCATACGTCTTATTCAAGAGAGACAGGTCCAATAAATATCAGGCTTTCTCGACTAATTGCATTTATTAGCAATAGTATTAGTATTAGAGCTTACAGGTATGCTTACACTGGTTTATGTCGTAAGAGAATTCCAACATGCAAGACTGAAACAGTATAAAAAAACGCGCTATTAATAGAGGCACGAAAGAAGAATTGCGAAAGCGATAAAGCAGAAATACAAAGCGAAGTCAGATTCAACCGAAGAGATCGAAGCTAACCTTCTTTTTCTAACAAATTATAAAATTTATATGAGAGCAATAATTACAATTCTTAATATGTGACTTTCTAATGCGTAAACGTTACCATTCTTACCATACTCTGCTTAATTTTTCATTCAGTTTACGCGGAAATATGAGCTACTCGAAAAGTCTGATTCCCAATTGGCGTAGTCATTACGTGTAAAGCGAATATGTGAGACATTACTACATTTCAAAGTAACCACCACGTTCATAAGCAGAAAAATATTTCGAGAGTATGTCAGAATTTAAATGAAGAACATGTACTGTATATCTAAATAGGTGTCTTTTAATAAGACAATATTTTTCGAGTAGATGTAATGATATTCTTAGTTATTTGAGGCATATTAACTATAGACGCCGTGATATGTCAATAAGACAATAATCGTGTAAAACACATGACAACACACAAGCAGTTTTGATTGACATGAAAATTGCTTTATACATTTTTTCGGGAAGCGAATAAAAAGTCAATTTTGGACAAACATGGACTAGAGATTTTGCCATTTTCGATTCGTTCGAACCGAATCTGTACAGTAGGTTATTTTAATTTGCAACGTTGTTCGCGTATATACAACAAAATGCCCAAAGCATCAATTTAGTGTTGTATCTTTTCCAGCAAATAAACTGAAAATGAAAATAATTACAACATTCAGATCAAACAAAGGAGATGATTTATGGATGACTATGAAGTTTAAAGAACGTTTTTATAGAGCATCAATTCCGAGAAAGCATTATAAGCCAGCAATTCATTAGCCTACTGGCACTCAAGATTGAAATAGGTAATAATAAACTTTCAGAGATAAAACGCGGAAATATGACAATTTGATAATTTAATTCTGCGCATGTTATCTATTTATTAATTGAATCCCATTAATTTTTTTGACGCACGAAACTAAATTTTAAGATAGTCTTCACATAGCTCTTTTCCAATATCAGTTTTAAGAATCGTATTATGCTACTTTACAATG